TTTTTCGACCCAGAGGTATCCCCACGTTTATCCGGGGTATCGACGCCGCACCCTAGCCATACACCAGCCCACCTAGGGAGACCGACCGACGGTCAGTAGAATGGGACCAAACGGTTCAAGCCGAACAGGCCTAGCTTTCCACCACCAGAGGGTGGGACTAGTCCTCTGGGGGAAATAGGGTGCCTCACCCCTTATTTTCCACGGTAGTCAGGATCGATCCCCTGACCTCCAGCATCAAAGGGATTTTCACCCTCCACTGTGGACCAGCTGACCTCACGCCCTGGAGGCATAGGGACCTATTTACAAATTAAGAAAAATAGTTTTATTTTAATTTGATTCATGGGTTAAATTTATAATTTTAAAAATTGAAGATTACACCATGTTAATCAATAGTTTGCACAATATTACTAAGTGAACCAAATTGATTTAATTTTTGTCACAAATCAAAATAAAACCGAAACGAAATATATATTAAAATCATAATAATATCAATAATAAGTTTTTTACATTGTACGGTCGATTCGTTATTTCGGGGTTGGTTTTTTAAAAATAAAAAATAAAAATAAAAGTAGATGTTGTATAGAAGAAATTGGCAAATTAAAAGTAAAAAAAAAAAGATAATTGAGTTGAAATATGAAAAATCAAATCAAACATTTTATTTTTGGTCCGGTTGTTTGTTGTTGTGCACTCCAACAGTTATTAATATGCAATTTGTCTTGTACTATTGTGCGAGATTCTGTCATTATTGTGCATTATGAATCGATAGAAATTTTATACCAATTAAACTTGAAACCGAACCGAATTACTTGATTATTCGTTCGGTTAACTGAATTACCTTAATTAAAATAATGTATTATTTATATTAAAAACACATTTAGTATTTTAATAGTTTAATTTAATATTTTTTTATATTATTATTGTTTGAAAAAACATAATATACAGAATAATAAAATTGATAATATGCATTCTCATATACACAAATGTGCATTCAGCCTAACATTATTGTGCAGTCTATTAATTGACTAGTAATTATTATTATTATTATTATTTGTATTATTTATTTTTTTGTGGTCATTTCAACGTTAGAAAACTATAATAATGTATATATGAATTGACATCATTATGCATTTATCAAATTATTTGAATAATAAAAATATAATTAGCATTCATAATTTTTTTTATATAACATTTTACATTAGTTTTTTTATTGAAAATAAAATAATATATGTATATTTAACATATAAATAATATTTCTATATATTTTGATTGGTTTTGTTTTTTCATTTTATTTATTTATTTATGTTGTAAATAAGGTGTAAATCGAAATGAAATAACCTAGATTTTATTATTTGTTCCTATATTGAAAATATGACATTTTTTTATTTAATAATTTATATATTTATTTATGCATATAGATAATTAAACTGAAATATATAAATTCGGACAGAAAATCCAGTTCAGTCAATTTCGGTCACTAATGTGCATTCAGACAATAATTAATGTGCGGTTCACCCAACACTATCGTGCAATCGCAGCGCATGCATTTGTTACGTGCATTTAAATTTAAGGAACCTTTTTAATGTGTATTCCAATCAAATTATTTTGCCTTTATCAAATCATTTATATATTAAAACTATATTTTTGTACTTATTCTTTTTTCAATATTTTATATTATTATTTGTTGAAACTAAACAATATATGTCACTATTGTGCAGTTCAACAATCACTAATGTGCATAATGTTTAGTATTTTTGTGCATTCTAAATTGTACATTTTTTTTTTT